CACACCCAAAGCAGCTTCAAGCCACCATTACACTGCGGCAAAAAAAACGACAAACCGACCCCAGCCGCACCCGTCGCACACGCGAGGTACCTTTCATCGTCACCTGCAGCATCCTGCAGCCACTTTACACGGAAAAACGCAAGGTTTCGTGCTCCGGCTTCCTCCCCAAAACATAGCCCATGCAACATCATGCAGCCATTACAATGCGGTTCGCAGCATCAACTCGCAAACTTGCACCTATCTACGCACAGAACAACACCAGAACACCAGATGACAAGAGTCATGCAGCCATTCCAATGCGATCTGCAACCGGAGATTCCAAAACACCCTATAACTACGCACACACAAGCACACCCAAAGCAGCTTCAAGCCACCGTTACACTGCGGCAAAAAAAACGACAAACCGACCCCAGCCGCACCCGTCGCACACACGAGGTACCTTTCATCGTCGCCTGCAGCATCCTGCAGCCACTTTACACGGAAAAACACAAGGTTTCGTGCTCCGGCTTCCTCCCCAAAATATAGCCCACGCAACATCATGCAGCCATTACAATGCGGTTCGCAGCATCAACTCGCAAACTTGCACCTATCTACGCACAGAACAACACCAGAACACCAGATGACAAGAGTCATGCAGCCATTCCAATGAGATCTGCAACCGGAGATTCCAAAACACCCTAAAACTACGCACACACAAAAGCACACCCAAAGCAGCTTGAAGCCACCGTTACACTGCGGCAAAAACTAGACGACGGATCGCCCGAGAGCGTAGAGGAGCAGGGTCTTCTCTTGTTAGTATGGAGACACCATATTGCAAACAATATATTAAAGATGTGTTATAGGCAGTCGAGAAGAGGAGTATCAAGACAAAATAGAAGAAGTGCAAGACAATAGTTTGCATCACAAAGACTTTTACACACAGAAGCTTTTACACACAGACGCTTTTACAGACAAAAGCTTTTACACACAGAAGCTTTTACACACAGAAGCTTTTACACACAAAAGCTTTCACACACAGAAGCTTTTACAGACAGACACTTTCACACACAGACCCTTTTAAACACAGACGCTTGTACACACAAAAGCTTTTACACACAGAAGCTTTTACGCACAGACGCTTTTACACAGACGCTTTTACACACAAAGCTTTTACCCACAGAAGCTTTTAAATACAGAAGCTTTTACACACAGACGCTTTTACACAGACGCTTTTACACACAGACACTTTTACACACAGACACTTTTACACACAGACACTTTTAACAAAGACCCTTTTACACACAAGAGCTTTTACACACAGAAGCGTTGACACGCAGACGCTTTTACACACAAAAGCTTTTACACACAGAAGCTTTTACACATAGACGCTTTTACACACAGGCACTTTTACACACAAACACTTTTACACACAGACCCTCTTACACACAATCAGTGAAACTTTTACACAAACCCTTTTACACACAGACACTTTGACACACAGAAGCTGCGACACACGGACCATCACGGACCCCATTTACACACAGACCCTCTTACACACAAACGCTTACACTCTTACACTCACACCCTTTTACATCCAACACCAGTTAAATCGCAATTTTACCTCAGTTTTTGCGCATCGAGCATCATTTCGTGCGAAAGGGTTGCTCCGGCACAAGTAAAATCGCAATTTTACCCCAGTTTTTGCGCATCGACCCTCATTTCGTGTGAAAGGGTTGCTCCGGGACAAGTAAAATGTAAAATCACAATTTTTCCCTCAGTTTTTGACGATCGACCCTCATTTCGTGCGAAAGGGTTGCTCCAGCACAAGTAAAATCGCAATTTTTCTTCAGTTTTTGACGATCGACCCTCATTTCGTGTGAAAGGGTTGCTCCGGGACAAGTAAAATGTAAAATCACAATTTTTCCTTTGTTTTTGACGATCGACCCTCATTTCGTGCGAAAGGGTTGCTCCAGCACAAGTAAAATCGCAATTTTTCTTCAGTTTTTGACGATCGACCCTCATTTCGTGCGAAAGGGTTGCTCCAGCACAAGTAAAATGTAAAATCACAATTTTTCCTTTGTTTTTGACGATCGACCCTCATTTCGTGCGAATTGGTTGCTCCAGGACAAGTAAAATCGCAATTTTACCTCAGTTTTGCGCATCGACCCTCATTTCGTGCGAAAGGGTTGCTCCGGGACAAGTAAAATCGTATTTTACTTTCACAAGGGACGTTCGAGAAAGTTAGTGCTTTCACACTTATAGTGTTTTTTGGTTTGTGGGCCAACACTCTCATCTTTGGTATGTTGTCTCAGGGTTGTTTGATGCGGCGCATTTGGCTCTCTCAGGGATTGTCCATAATTCAATTCGGTCAGGGAAGGACGCCATGACGAAAAGACCAGCATCAAGAGGCCCGGCAAGTAATGAAGCGCCCTTTCGCGAAGAGGAGATTGGGGAAGGGCGCTGGCTGCTGGTGGTGCAGGGATTCTCCTCCCTCTCTCATAAATGCGTGGGTGTAAAAAAGTCCTAAAAAGCATTTTAATATCTGATACACATTTGATGGTGCGAGCCTGCAATGCCAGGCCTCAAGTCTGTTTGGTGAAGCGGTGGACATCCTGGGATCATCTGTATCTGATTTGTTTTCAGTATCTATCTAATTACAGATCTTAAGCAGGGTTTCATCGGAAGTAACTTCACCTTATCTATTTCAATGATGTTTGCACCCACCTGGGCTGTTTGCGGATGCCTCACGGCAAAACTCGCAACTTGCTGTCTCAGCCATGCCTATGCGGAGCCAGTCTGTTTTTCACACCTTTCAGAACAGAAGAACAAGTCCATTTCTAGCGTGAGCGATTCACCAACTGGATGGTTTCCGCAAAGATGCTTGATTCTCGCTGTTTCGTGTTTCCGGCACCCGCCAAGTGAGGGTCTTCTAGGTTTTGTCAGAGTTTTGCTTGCCTCCTTTCCTTCTCCTTCCTTCCTTGCCTCCCTCCATCCCTCCCTCCTTGCCTGCCTGCTGCTTCCTTCCTTTTTTCCCCCCTGTTCCTTCCTTCTCCTTCCTCCTGCTTCCACCTTCCGGCACCATGCCGGACTCAACCGCGGGCTCCCAGCGCCTTCCTTCCTTCCCTTCCTTCCTTCCGTTCCTTTTCCTGTTTCCTTTTTCTTTTCCTTTTCCTTCCTCCTTCCTCCTTCTTCCTTCTTCCTTCTTCCTTCTTCCTTCTTCCTTCTTCCTTCCTCCTTCCTCCTTCCTCCTTCCTCCTTCCTCCTTCCTCCTTCCTCCTTCTTCCTTCTTCCTTCTTCCTTCTTCCTTCTTCCTTCTTCCTTCTTCCTTCTTCCTTCTTCCTTCTTCCTTCTTCCTTCTTCCTTCCTCCTTCTTCCTTCCTCCTTCCTCCTTCCTCCTTCCTCCTTCCTCCTTCCTCCTTCCTCCTTCCTCCTTCTTCCTTCCTCCTTTTCCTCCTTCCTCCTTCCTCCGTCCTCCTTCCTCCTTCCTCCTTCCTCTTTCCTCTCCTTCCTCCTTCCTCTCCTTCCTGCTTCCTGCTTCCTGCTTCCTCCTTCCTCCTTCCTTCTCCTTCACCTTTCCAGATCCAGATCTCAGTGGGCACTGCCGGGCCCCAACCGTGAGCAGCAAATTTCAGTGGGCACTGCCCATGCCAGAGGAATGTCAAAGTACCAGAATAGAATGTCAGAATAGATGCCAGATAATAATTATAAGTTAAAAATAACATAATATAAAGAATGCCAGATTGAATGGCAGAATAGAAAGTCAGAATAGATGCCAGATAGAATGCCAGAATAGAAAGCCAGATAGAATGCCAGAGAGAATGCCAGAATAGATGCCCATAAATAACAACAGAATTTCAGAAAGAATGCCAGAGAAGTTGCCAGATAGGATGTCAAAATAGGTGCCCGAGAAGATGCCAGAAAGAATGTCATAAGATATATGCCATATATACTTCCATATAAGATGTCAGAAACTATGACATAATAATGTCACGGTGGGGATCACTCGAAGTAAAGTAATTCAATTTTTAAATTTTGCTTGCCCCTGTCCAAACATAACCAGCAGAGGGCTCTGTAGCCAGTCATTGAAAAACCAGCCAATACTGCTCTTGATTTACTGCAGGCTTTAGAGATCTTTTGTTCAAAACCTCCGAGCCGCCATTTAGGAAGAGTTGGTGAGGAAGTGGTATAACATTCCGGTCGCAGATTTGTCAACCCAGACTGGTCAGAAACTAGATACGGTTTTGTACCAAAGCAGCGATGATGATGACACTGTTGGTCGGGAAATTTTGGATCAGAGTGATTCTGAATCTTGTGGTAGCAAAGTTTCTGACCCTGATGATTCTGGCGGGGTATTGCTCCAATCATCTGATGAAGACCGAGAAGAACCTGAAATTAAACGCAGGAAGTACGCCACTAGAACATCTACTACCCAATTCACGTTTCTGGGTCGACATGTGTGTAGCCGAGCGCACCAGAGATTGTATGGGATTGGTTCTGTGGCACTACAAAACATTCGCCAGAATTTGCCAGCTTACGCTATGCATGAGAGGAGGTTGAGCGAGCCCAAGCATGATGTACTGAAGGTGTCTATGAAAAGAAAGTCTGAACACATGCAATGGCCTCACATAGTGAGTTTCTTTTGGCTGTTGTATATCAGCGCTGCGGAAGTGCTACCAACAAAGTTTGTCATGCCAGATTCGTGGCAAACGCAAATGCTGGAAAGGGACCCAGATTTTTCCGAGAGGTTTACATGCGGCTTTTTGCAAAACTTGGAGAAACACTTTGAACTCAGCCACCCTGGCCAAATTGGACCAGGGACTTTCCAAGGTCCACGCAGATATTTAGAATATGCAAAGCCCATCGATCTCTACATGCAGTATACTGCTTACAGCGATTCTGAAAATGTCAGACCCGCTTCTTTGTCAACATTCATGCGTGTTTTCAATCGGGTATTCAGTTCCCATTTGAAATTTCGAGACAAAACAGAGTTTGGACAATGTGAAATTTGCTTTCGGTACAAGATGAAAATCAAAAAGGCACTGAGCAAGGCAGAAAGGCTGGAGTGGACTAGATCCTACAGTAGCCACCTTTTCAGTCAATGGAGAGATAGGCAATTTTACTGGAGAATGCGGGAGCTTAGTCGGCAATTCTATTCCCAGGGACTTTCAATGGGGGCTTCGAAGATGAATTCACTGGAGTTGGGATCTTCTATATTGACAATAATCCAAGATGGCATGGACCAATCGAAGCTGAGAATACCCAAATGGGGGTATGTTCGCTTGCCTAAGTCATTGGAAGCATTGTACAGACCAGCGCTGCATCTGGCAGCAACGTGGGCTCACGGAGGCCGGCTGTTTCTCAGTGTGACAGACGAGAATGTGAAAAAGAACTCAGAGACGCAAGTCGAGCAACTGGCACGTGCCTTATCGGATTTGCTGTCAATGACGCCACATCTCTACACCTACATTGCCAGAGCGACAATTGCTTTAGAGAAGCGAAAAACCAATTTGTGGCATGCTTCATGATGTTGCTAGTAGCTTTGAAAATTTTCAGATCTACATCCCAGGGATTTTGAGAAAATCCCATTCCCATGAAGATGTTGACCAAGTTTTTGGACAACTGTCTCGGCTTCTTCAAGGAAAATCGGTCTTCACAGCTAATGCCATGGTTGACTTGCTGAACAATGTGACCAAAAGATCCGGAACTTCGACAATGACAGAACCACAAATTCTGAAATCAACTTGTTTCGCATACAAGCTCGATGAGGTAACTCGCTGGAAAGATTTTGTGACGCAAGCTGGAGTTTCGATCAAAGGCATGCGACATGTGCATTACCTACGGTTTTGCGAGCGGAAAGATATGGGTTCTGATATTTTGGACAATGTTTCCGAGATTGAGGAGTACAAGTCTGGTGACAGACATCCCGAAGACATTTTCTTGATTACAAAAAGGTGGCTGGCTGATACCCAAATGTCTCGAGTGATCTGTGTGATGCCAGCTGGTGTGGCGAAACAGCTTCGAACGGGGCATTACTTGCCAAACGGCCAAGCTGACAGGCGGAAGATTTCAGACCCGGTGAAGAAAAACATTCTCCGGTATGTCCCAAAAAATCATCGAGCTGGCACTCTTAATTCGGATGCTACTACTTATTTGTTGAAATGGGTCCAAGGAATTTTGCCCAAGCATCCCAGGCCTGCATCGTATCCCATTTTGGGCTACCGTTACATCCCTGAAATGCGTGCTGAATCTTTGATGGCTGGCACCTGGACTGTGCCAACTCGCCGGAAAATTTTTGACTTGTCCATGGGTCATGAGGACATGGATCAGGAGTCATCTTCTGATGATGGCGACATTGTCCTGCCACAAGCTTTGGTCAATTGTTGATGGGGCCCAACGCGCTGGAAAAAGTCCTCCTTGAGGAACCATTCAAACCAACAAGATTGTAGATGTTTTTGATGTGCGCAATGACAATGGATTCAGGTTAGAAAAGATTCCGAGCTTGACTGAACCAGCCACTACTTGATGCCACTAAATTTCTTCCCCTTCCCAAGTCATGATCTCTAGCTAGCTGCCTTCCGGGCCACCTGAAGGAGCAAAGTTGAGAAGGAGCCTGAAGATAACGAAATTCTTTTTGGTTCCGACGAAGGCCAGCCCTGGTCGGGGAAAGTGATTGTTGTTTGATTCCAGCACTATGAGAAATATATCCAATTTTCAGGGGTTGGTATAATTATTGCAGAACGGGGTCTTTCACCTGGGCTATAGCTCACCAAGTGACACACCTTGGACATGACAACTGGGCGAAATCATTCGCCTGTGCAGAAGACCTCTCCAAGAACGCCTCTTCAACTCGATCTGATGATGGAGTTCTGCTGGCTTCAGATGATGAGGAGCTGCCGGATTCCAATGCCAGGCTGCGAAAGCTACCTTTCAATCATGTTCCCAATGTATCTTGACTGGGACATTTTAGGCATCACCTAACCTTCAAAAACGTTTGACGACATTGAATCCAAAACCAGGATGGCCGGGTTCACCGTCAACCATTTTATATTTTGTGAGTTTTTGCTTGCTGTCTATAAATTGATATAACAATCACATCAACTTATTCTGTATGTATGGTATGGGAGATATGCCAAATCTTGGTTCCAAGAGCTCCGCTAATTTGGCGGTAGGTGCACATTAGGTTCGGGACGTTAAGATCAACAATATCTTTGGTAGTCCTAAACCAGTTCCAAGCTTCTAAAGGTATCGCATTCACAGCACTTGAACTGGATCGAAGATTTGGGACCGCTATCATCCTTTAGCTTGCAACATTTTACAACATCATTTTCCATATGTCGGAATTGGAAATTGGATAAAATCCAGTCGGGGCCATCTATTTCTCATATTTGAGATATCCGTCACAATTCAAACAATATCCGTCGGCTTTGCGAGGTCTCTGACTTTGTGCAGACGTTCCTGCAGGAACCGATCTTTGACCCTTTGCGCCAGAAGTTGGCTGCCACATTGCGGAATGTGGACACGCTTACGGTGGGGAGCATGTGCTCCGGATGGGGTGTTCTAGAGATGGTGCTTCACTGCTTAGAACATGACTGGAATGAAACCAATGCCGGGAAGTCAGACATGAAGGCCCGAGATTTTGGAAATATTCAGGGTCCAAATCCCCTATTGGTATTTTAATGAAAAGAATAATGGAATGAATCTTTTCGGGGATGCAGTTACTTGCGGTTAACATCGCAAATCCTTTCAACCTCAGGTAGACCTGGCATTCATGGTGGAATATGACACCAAGAAACAGGAGTATTTGAAGACCCGGTTCCCCCATGCGCGATATGTGTTCAACGACATGAAGGACATGGGCAACAGAGAAGCTGCAACCTGGGATGGGAGCGTCCACAAAATTCCCAAGGTCGGGTTTGTTGTGAAAACTACAGTTCAAAAATTGTTGGTTTTATTGGGGGTGATTTTTGGTTTCTTTGAACGGTTTGACAAACTGTACCCGGAAAAGTTTTAAGCCTGGACAAGCCCAGGTGGATCTATTTGTTACCGGTTTCCCATGCGTGAGCCTGAGCCCCCTCACGGTTACCCCTGGGTCGGTCATGGATGCATCTTGCCAGTCTGGCTCGGGCTTCCAAGCAGTGAAAAGTTACTGCGAAAGGTACAGGCCACCCATGGTTTTGCTGGAAAATGTTGCTAGCCTTTTCCACAAAAGACAAATTGAAGGAGAGGATACATCTGCGTATCTTTGTATGGACATTTACATTTTTGGCGGACATTATTTGTTGTTGGTTTTGTTGGGGATTTGTTGGGGATTAAATCCTTGCCCACTAATTTTACATCTTTCTCCTTTAGGATATGACCCTGACACTTATTTCATATTTACTACTTGATATGACCCTATCGCTGAACCCATCTGAGCCCCATAGACTAAGGTACGACCAGATTGAAAGGGTCTTGGAAGGACTTGGGTATCTGGTCACCGGTTTGGAATGCAACACCGCCAACTATGGGCTTCCCCAGCAGCGCAGCCGAGCGTGGTTGATGTGTATCTTGAAATCCCAAAGTTTGTTCAAAGCAGTTCATGAAATGCCTCGAGATTTGGAATTGTTCCAATGCCAACCCTTGTCTTTGGAATTGCTGATTTCAGAGACCATGACCCATGGAGCAGATTCGAAATCATCCAAGCCTGCCAACGGCAAGTCGGATGCGAAGTGGAAAGAAGCTCTCAAGGAGATCTACAAACGGCTTGGCAAGGCGAGCTGGGATTACTGTGCTGTCAGCGGCTGCGGGTGGTTTTCACCCTGAAGGTTTATATAATGTAACCTTGAAAGGGTTCTTTGTGTTTTGAATGCTTTTTGTTCAGCGGCAGAATCTGTCGTTCTCAAGTCCAGCTTCCCAAGCCAAGTCAACTGCAATGTTTTCATTTCCAGCATCGGCTGCCTGGACAATTGTCCCTCTGTCTTCTCGAAATGGGTCAGCTTGTTTTAACAGGTTGTCCCGGTCAATGTTGATAATAATTTTGCAACATTATAACCTGAATAAAGATTGCGATCCAATGATACCATCGATAGGTCTGAGTCTTCAAACTTCAAATCGCATCCAGGTTTCAGGTAAATTAGGTCGACTATCATTCGACACCCCTTCTATTCAGTCAGGAATTTGAATCTCAAAATTTTGACTGTTCACATCAAAGCGTTCCAAAATTTCTGGCACAGCCCCAATGCGACTGCACCACAGCCGTGGCAGGAGAAGGTGGATGCTACGCTGGCAAAACTCCGCCCCAAAGCAACGTGCTGCAGCGACCGTGAGGTGGCCGTCCTGGCTACTGCCATTCAAGAGGTGATCCAGAATAAGAACGTCGATCCTTTTGAAAAGTTGATGGTCATACAAGTAGTCCCTTAGCTGGCTTGCTCAACAGTGGTCTCCGTCCTATTTGGTTGGATTTACTAATCAGACTTCCTGACATCAATTTGAGACTCAAGCAAGGAGAAAAAATATGTGGGTTCCATGTCCCAAGTTACATTCCTTAGAACTGGTCTTGTTGAAATCATGATGTTCTTTATCAACCATTGCCAACTTTAACTGACTAGTACTAATACTATGCATGTTCCATTCACAAGATTATCATATGCTACCTGCCAAGGACCAAAATTTTGGCCGACAGAACTATCCAAAGAGCGCTCTCGGCACCACGTGTTGCATCATTCCCGGGGGGAAATACATTTGCACTGGAAAAGCCAACTTCAGGTCAATCACTGACCAGGACCAAGCTAGTGCAAGTAGCCATGTCGGGAAGACAGCAAGTAGTTTCCAATCTCAATTTCCTATTGGGGAACTAGGCTTTTTGAACATCTTTGGTGTTGGGACATGGCAGTCTGATATTGTTCAAATTTTATCGTACACTTTCTTCGAGTGATCCCCACCCTCATTATTCTGACATTGTTTCTGACATACCATCTGGAAGTCATTCTTTCTGGCATTCTATTTGGCACCTAGTCGGACATTCTTTCTAGCATATATTCTGACATCAATTCTTTCTGGCATTCTGTCTGGCATATCTTCTGACATTCTTTCGGGCATGCTATCTGGTATGTCTTGGGAGAGTCTTTGTGCTTGAGGTCCGGCCGGGACCACTGCGATCTAGCACTTGCAGTTGAGGTCCGGCGGGGACCACTCTGATCCTGGGCTTGCTGTTCGGGTCCGGCGGGGGCTGCGATCACGAGCTTGCAGTTGAGGTCCGGCGGGGACCACTCTGATCTTGGGCTTGCTGTTCGGGCTCTGCGGGGACCACTGCGATCACGAGCTTGCAGTTGAATTCCGGCGGAAGAGGAGGAGGAGGATGCCAGCTGACATAAAAATCAAACATCTCTCACCTGAGAAAAACATCCTAAAAGCATACTGGGTTCGTGGCCGGAATTACTCTAGGTTAAACGTAGCTGGTCGCCCGACGGCTTCCAGGAGCGAGCTTCGCTTCAAGGTGTCGGTCCTCTGGACTGGGCACATTGGGAAATGGGCAAAGTCCCCTCACCAACCATGCGAAGTTTTATCGGCAACTCGCAGGGGGGCCCGGATATCTACAACCAAATGGGACATCAAGAAGATCAAATGTATAGTGGTAAACTAAGCACCGAAATTGTTTCGAAAACAATATATAATCAAATTGTTTTTTCCAACGAATAAGTCCGGAACGAAATAAAAATCAGGAACGGATAATTTTGAACCATTCACAAATAAATACCCAGAAAGGCACTTACTTCCCTTCGCCTGCCCAGTGTGATATGCAGAACCACTCTATGCGCTCATGCCCAGGTTCTCCGTTCCTGTCCATTTGGGAGCTTTGGTTTCGCTGCTGGCCCAGTGGAAGCCACATGGGTCTGAGTGAGAAGGGTTTAGTGAAAGATGGAATTTCCATGGCTACGTTCAATCTCGAATCCTGACTGTGACTGAAGTCACTTGAGAAAACACTAGAAAAATATGATCGTATCACTATTCCCCATAAACTCCCATCCTTGATATTTTCCTAGCATACATTAACCGATTTGACTTTCATATGCTGTGTTCTGTGATTGTTGGATATCTTACCAACATCCCGGAGAACCGACGAAAACCTAATCCTGGCGTGGATCAGCGGCGCGATCACTTGAGATTGCTGTCTGCACAGCGCGGGAAGCAGTGGAAGCACACCGTGAGCTTCGGGAGCAAAGATCAGCATGGGGGTTCAAATTCAAGTGTTTTTTGCACGACATGAAGCATGCGAACCAATTGAAATGGCAGAAACACAACCATAGGAGAGCCGATTCTTGTCACTTGCCCCGCTATGTTGGAATGCTGATCATACTTTGCAGTCCGTTTTTGGGTCTAGGAAAATTTCTCCAGAGGATCTCTTTAGCTGCTAGGGTTTCCTTAAGTTTCACCACTCCTTTTGGCCATGGGGATTAAAAGGAGGCGGGTCGCAGCGAACAACAAGGAGCCGGCAGTTGCTCCTTCTTCTATGTCTGAAGTCCCCAAAACGTGCCTGGTCTTGCGGGACTGGATCAATGACCTCTATGCATCGAGGCATGGGGCGAGTGAGGAGAAGCATGGCCAGTTGGGAAGGGGGGCTCCTTTCAAGAAGTAGTGCAACGGTGCTTCAACGATTCGGACCAGCTTCTAGCAGATAGCCTGAGCTTTGCCAAGTCAATTGGCTTACTTGGGCGCGACGCGGATCTCCAAGTCTTTGCCCAACGGTTTTTGGTCATGAAGGACATCCCACGAAAACAAACATGGATAATGAGCTTCCACCATATCGCCCAGAGATATGTTGATTAAACAATCTGATTATGTTTTAATTCAATTTCATAACGTCCATTTAACTGTAGATTGACTGGTTCCATACTTGCTTCGCAGGACTTCCCTCCACAGCCTGGTGCCTGGACTACCACCTCTGTGCTGCATTGGGACTTTAGCCTGGATTCCTTTTGGAGACCCCCTGACGCGGCGACGGTACTTGACATCGCAAAGTCAATCGCTTTGGCTGGGTGGCGTGAGGTCAGCGATTCACAGTCGGTAAGGGTGGGATGGACACAGCGTCAAGGAAATACCTCTCCGCTTTGACAACTTCATTCAACTTTCAAAGTGGAGAGCTCTTCCTAGAACAGCTCTCCGCCCTCTATTGTAAACCCAATAGCACAGAGTAAGCCCCAATCCAGGAATACTACCTATATAAGGTACATCTAGGGGAAACCAATACTTACAGTAAAGTAAGGGGTGGAGAGCTGTTCTAGGAAGAGCTCTCCGCTTTTCCAAAAAAATATAAACCACAAAGTGGAGAGATATTTGTCCAGCGAAGATCCAAACAGCTTTTGGGATGGGCACCGAAGGTTTTGGGATGGGCACTGACACCCTGGGGGTGGAGAGCTCTTCCAGGAAGAGCTCGCCGCCCCCCCGAACCGGAATACCTCGCCGCCCCTCCCCGAAGGTTTTGGGATGGGCACCAACACCCTGGGGGTGGAGCGCTCTTCCAGGAAGAGCTCGCCGCCCCCCCAAACCGGAATACCTCGCCGCCCCTCTCCGAACCGGAATACCTCGCCGCCCCCCCAAACCGGAATACCTCGCCGCCCCCCCTACCTCGCCGCGCCGCCCCCCAACAAACCGGGAATACCTCGCCGCCCCCCCAAACCGGAATACCTCGCCGCCCCCCCAAACCGGAATACCTCGCCGCCCCCCCAAACTGGAATACCTCGCCGCCCCCCCAAACCGGAATACCTCGCCCGCCCTCCTTGCTGCTGGAAGATTTCTCAATTTCTTGGAATGATCAGTCAGCTGCAAAGATGACAGCAACGGTTTGATGCCTTATCATTAGATTGAAGGTGTATGTAATAAACGGGGCCCTGAACTACAATCAGTTAATATGTCTACTGCTCAAATTACAATTAGCATTTACCTATTATGTCCAATCCAAAGGTTTTCTTTTCAACGATAGCGCCCCAGCTACACTCTGTCTGCAGGGTGAATCCCTTGGACTTCGAATGCCTGTGGATGATGACACCCAGATGGAGACTGGTGAGGGTGAGGTTGACTGGCGGGTGGGTGAGTTCCAGTTCGATGACGGTGGGATGCGGGGTCTTGCAGCGGCAATTTGTTGGATTGGATTGGTCTACAGGTGCTCCAAGGAGAATTCACAAGACCTTTCCCAGCCTGGGGTGATCAACTTGGCAAGATCTTTGATGAACCTTCCAACCATGCGAAAGACCCAAACCAATGATGTCGCTACTGAGCAGATCCGCCGGATCATTTCCCAGAATGTGGAAAGCAAAAAGCTTGCCATCAGCTCGTTTGAGTGGGCGGAAATCTTACGGGGCATGAAAAAGCAGGGCAGGCATATGAGCCTTCAAGATGCCATTCAGCTCTACAACAATAACCCTGAGATCACAGCTCACGGTGGGGCATCCAGCGGGACATCGACCAAGGACGTAACAGTGAAAAACATAGCTTTTAATGTTATTGAATTCAATGAGTTGCTGCCCCCCCTATATATCCCATAATCTGGTAAAGTTTTCAGGGCCTTTAAGTTAAACCCCTATACATACTTTTAATAGTGACAATCACATGGACTTACCCTGCGTTCCAAGCGTGCGAGGACCGAAGCGGAGCCGGATCCTTGATGATTGACGGCAAAAAAATGTTTGCCATCAAGCATTGGATGGAGCTGACAGGTGATGCTGCGCGTGCCCAGTCTTGATAGCCCTCAAGGACAACCCTTTTCAATACGGACCTTGGGGTGAGCCCCTATCCATGATGAAACCGTTGTACCTGAAATCAGTGGTGAACTTGACAAGCATTCCCCAAACCTCTGCAAGCTTGGTCCCACTTGAGGGCGAGGCAACCATTACTTTGGACTGGGGGCTCCCTTTGACTGAAGACTGCCAAGAAATTCTTTTCCAAAGGATTCGACTTCATTTCGAGAAGTCCACCGCCATAGTGGAAGATGCTCAGGACCGTCGTCGCTACCGGATGTCTGAATCAGACCTCATGTGCCTCAGGAATTTGGTTTGTCTCTATGGGCAAGTCCGTCAGTTCTTGAGCACCAGGGTCCCCTCTTTTGACAAGTTGGATTTGGCCATCAAGACTGGCAACACAGCGGACCACGAAGTGGCTGGGGTCTTGGAGCAACGGCCACACCAGTTTGCTGCTTCGTTCTTGCCAATGGCACAGCAGACTGCCATGGAGAATGCCAAAAAGCAAGAGGAAGTCGTGACCATGGAAGTTCAAAAACAACGGCTGGAACTTCGTGATGTCAAATGGAAATACTTTCAAGCTGCCCTTGCAAGGGACCAAGACATCATAGCAACAATCCAGGCAGCCCCAAAGCGTCTTGAAGCACTTCGGCATCGAAAACAAATGGCTTGGAGAGTCGAGCAATCACAGCAAGGAGAGCGGGTCGTCCAGAGCTACATGCAACAGTGCCTGCGCACCGAGCTGGTCGAGAAAGTTGAGCATGGCCAGCTCAAGATCAATGAGTACCGCCAGTTTGTGGCAACTTGTCAGGATGATTAACTTTCCGCTTCTGGCCTGTTCAACCCACAACATCCCACTACAAAATGCGATTGCTTGTTTTCACATATAATATAGAGACCACACCGGCACTCCAGGTCAGGTATAACTTGTTGTTGATAATTCATAATATGATAATTTGTTTATGTGTATTCAAACCATTTAGCATCATCCCTAAGGCCAACCTCTGCAACTGTCGTGAGACTGATGTGCACATGATCACGCTCATAGATCTGAATGTGCCACTTGCCAAATCGAAAGAGAAGATGGAGGAACTCTGCACTCTGATGCAGTTCGTCAATGATCTCAACCCTACCCGCCATGTCGGGGTGGTGGAGCTGCCGGAGACTGCCAAAAAAACTTCCAAACGAGGTCTTTGCGACGAAGAAGCCGATTTGCAGCAGACACTTTGGGGTCTGCGCCAAGTCTGTGATGCCAGGTGGATCGTGCCCTTTGACATCCATCCGTCTGCGGATGCGCAAACGGCCCGAAGGAGTGAGCTGTTGAAACCTCCTTGCCAATCTTTACACTTTACTATTTAAGTTTTGCCATCACCAAGATCATGTTGTTGAGGGGCCCTGATACCAAGAAGCATTATTATTTTAGCGCACAACTTGTCTGGGGTCAGCCAAACGACATAATGTTTCAGAATGTTGTGGAAAAAGTTCGGGCACATCAACCAGCCAGTACAGTGTTCTCTTCTTTGCTGAACCATTTGAGCAGGAGATTCAGCAGTGGACGCTTGGTGGTGAACAAGGATTTTGACGAGGAAAACCCGTGGATCAACAACTCGGAATTTGGTTGCGCTGGTCGTCCCCTCACCGAGGACAAGATTCTTCTCCCCCTTTCCAGGGAGCTACTTCTTCCTGAAGCTCTTGATCCCGACAATGACCTACGGTTTGCTGAACGAACAAGGCCATCAGTTGAAGCTGCCAGCGCCCAAAAGGGCCAACAACGTTGGCTTACCATGTTCAGGAGCCTCCTTGCCATGACTTCCTACAGCTTGAAGATCAAACCGCTGATCATCGTCAATCTGACGTCGTATGTTGAAGATGTCGGTGTTGCGGTTACTTGTCTTTCTTTAGCGTAGGGCAGGGTTACAGGGTTGACCAGATTCACGGTATCAGAGTTAACCCGCGTTGTATAGCATAATGACTTGCAACAATCTTGGATCAAACCATCCAGCAATTTTATGCTGCCTAGCAATGCTTTGTCCAGCGGACAATTTTTTCGGGCAGCCAAAAAAGTAGGGATTGTTCCATGGCATGATGACGGTGACAGCTCCGGAGATGAGACGCCGGACAGAGAGAGCACGTCAAAACGTCGCAAAGTTGAGATTCATCAGGCCAAAACTGTGCCTGAGTGTGTCCCAGAAAATGCAATTTCTTTTGATGAGAAGAGCCCTCATGCTCCTTTGCCACCTGCTTGGCATGCATCTCTGTCGGCCACTTTGGGCTTTTCGATTCGAGTCACAGCGCCGTCAACAACTGCCGGCCGGATCTTGCAGCACTGCAAAGCAAGGTTTGAAATTGGATATGGCTACTTTTAGTAAGAAGTTCAAACATGACAGTTGTTGGTAAAACAATTGTTGGTAAGACATCATCTTCAAAGCACAAATCAGAGCCCCAAAAAGGTGTCAAAATCAAACATTGGAATGCCATTCCATTTTTTCTCCCTTGCCAGGTGAAGGCCTCTAGATTTTAACACAACAAGTGCAGCTCCTCCTCCTTCTCCTTCTCCTTCTCCAGCTCGTCGCCGAACCTCATATCGCAAGCTCCGGACGCTGTGGGCTGCGCCGGGCCCGAACCTCATTCCCTTCGCTGTGGGCTGCGCCCATATCGTGAACTCCGGACGCTGTGTGCTGGCCCTGGACCCGAGCAGAGAGAATGCCAGAAGAGAATTTCAGAGAGGATGCCAAATAAAATGTCAGAATGCCAGAATACATGCAGAAAGAACGTCAGAGTAGATGCCAGAAAGAATGTCAGAATAGATGCCAGATAGAATGCCAGAATAGATGCCAGATAGAATGCCAGAATAGATGCCAGTTAGATGTCAGATAGAATGTCAGAGTACTTGCTAGAAAGAATGTCAGATAGAATGTCAGAAACTCTTTCTGAATAGCGTGTAACGGTGGGAATCACTTGGAAGTAATCTACTTTTCCAACCAGTTAGCATCAATAATTTTCCAACAGGAACAAGTGGAGCGCATCCGTCTTAAGTATGGAGGGCCAGAGTTAACTGTGTTCAAGATTGGCATCACTCAGTGTTTGGAGATTCGGGCCCACTATTACTTCAAGGGGAACTTCTCTGAGATGCGTTGCGTTCATGCCAGCCAAAGCCTTGCCCAGATTGAAGTTCTGGAAGCTTCTCTCATCGACTATTTTAGAGAGAAGGCCCCAACCCAATGTCGCAATGTTTCAGCTGGTGGTGAGGGTATGCGACGTAAGGATGGAAAACCCAAAAATAAACCCCCATTCTTCTTGTATGTTGTTGCAGCAAATGCCTCGCAACCAAAACGGATTGCAAGCTAATTAAACCTTCCTTATGCGATGCTTTGGGGTTGTCATTGGCCTCGGAATTCGTAGACCCAGCGCATTCCAATTAGTAGACTAGAGCACCAACACCAGGATCAGCAGCCAGCAAAAAAGGCAGAGTCGGAAGTCGGAAAAAAGGAAAGACATTCAGAACCAGAATTTAATGTTCAAGAGCATGGTTTTAAAACATGTTTGTGAACTAATTCTTTTTGTATCGGGATAGCCTGGGAGGTTCCTTCAACGACTTCATTCCCTTTGAAAAGAACATATAGCATATAACGAAAAGACGAGGGAAAACATAACAAACAATTTCAAAACATTATTTAATTCATTATTTCTTCTGGTTCATATTCCTTTACCCCTGGGGCCCACAGCTCAGGCTTTCCACCTGCGAGAAGCCAAGGAGGAATTGAAGGGCGGCTTCAACACATGCAACCTCTTCTACCAGAGCATTTGGTTTCTCAACAAGGACCAGTTTGGGGCTGCCAGGCTCACGAGAGAAGTTGTCGACCATTGGCTTGCAGGAAAGCTAGAGTTTGCAGGACAAAAGATTTGCCTGAACCCCCCAGAGCTGTCACCTGACGAAGTGGCATCTGTGCCCGGAGGCACGGCATGTGCCAACAGTTTGGACACTGTTTCTTTTGAAGTTCTCGAACGCAGTGGTGGGAAGATGCTGATCAAATCCGACGAGAACAAGCTCTGGCTGTCGCAAGGTGGCACCATTACTGAGGACTACAAGGCCCTGCATGCCAAGCATATGGAGCTCATTGGTTCCGGGATTGATGTGGTGGAATCTCCACAAGCTCCAGCCGAGACTGGCGGTGGGGGAGAAGGTGAGACGACCGCTGGGCCCACTTCGCCACCATGTGAAGAAAAGGAATCCCTGGAAAAGTTGCAGGAGTCACCCGGGGTGGAAGTCAAGGTAGCTTCAGAGATTTCCGGGGTTGACCTTGTGCTTGCAAAGGATTCGTCTCTATGGCTTGTTGCTAGTACCGACAAGGTGGTGGCCAAGAACTCCCAATTGGGAGGATTTGGGACGGGACAATACGTTCCTGCTGAAGAAGAACAAGGATTGGACTTCCTCTTGCCATTGGGCGACAAAAGCCTGGTGCAATTGGACGAAAGCAGTTGGAAGACAGATGGCAGTGGAACCTCGGTTGTGACTTTTTACAAGCTCTTAGTGATGTGTGAACGTGACAAAAACATCACAGACCACAAGGTCAGCTACATGACCGTGTCCAGAAAGGCCCAGACCAATCTGGAACAGGGGATGGACGGATTTGATATCCAGTACAAGAACAAAATGCGATTCAAATGCTTGCCGCAGGACCGCTTGACGGGGAAAAACATCTTCTCCAAAGTTGTGTCGCAGGCTGCAGGGTATCAACAAATCCTGCCGGTGTTCCGATTCCGATTCGAGAGGATTGGGGGCACGTTGAAGCTTCAGAAGCCTCACATGATTACCAAAAATTCGCTCCAGCTCAAGGCAAACAAGCCTTTGAAAATCCAGTGATCGGCAGCACTTTGAGGATTAAATGTTTTTGGTATCACCAGCCGACAAAGTCAATTTTCACACAATGTTTTCCACTGCATTGTGCTTGTTCAATGCCGATCTTTCCAGCGGTTGCTTAGGAACCTCGGGGGTGTGCGGACTTTGTTTGGAATCAATTGCTTTACATCCGGTGATCCCTTCCATGACAGATATTCCATCTGACATTTTACTTGACATTCTATCTGATATCTATTCTGACATTCTATCTGCCATTTTTTCTGGCATTCGATCTGGCATCTTTTCTGGCATTCTATCTGACATCTACTTTGACATTCCCACTGACATTCTCTTCTGGCATTCTCTCTCTTCCGGTCCAGCGGGGACGACTCTGACCCGCCGCTTGCTGTTCGGGTCCGGCGGGGACCACTGCGATGTAGCGCTTGCAGTTGAAGTCTGGCAGGAACCACTCTGATCCGCGGCTTGCTGTTCGGGTCTGTCGGGGACCACTGCGATCTATAGCGCTTGCAGTTGAGGTCCGGCAGGGACCACTGCGATCTAACGCTTGCAGTTGGGTCCGGCAGGGACCACTGCGATCTAGCGCTTGCAGTTGAGATCCGGGACCATTTGATCCGAGGCTTGCTGTTCGGGTCCGGCAGCAACCATACTCTGGTCCTGGAGGCTTGCTGTTCAGGTCCGGTGGGGACCATTGCTGTTCGGATCCGGCAAGGACCTTGCATCTGGCACTTGCAGTTGAGGTCCGGCGGGGAACACTCTGATCCTGGGCTTGCTGTTCGGGTCCGGCGGGGACTTTTCATCTAGCACTTGCAGTTGAGGTCCGCGGGAACACTCTGATCTTGGGCTTGCTGTTCGGGTCCGGCGGGGACCACTGCGATCACGAGCTTGCAGTGAGGTCCGGCGGAGGAGGAGAAGGAGGAGGAGGTTACTTCCAGCAACACCCAGAGCTTGCACCCATGCCGGCAATCCTGTAGCATCACCTGCTGGCCGCCAGGACTTCTCAGATATGAAGCCAACACCATTCAGAAGAGTTTTCAGTTTTGTTAGAGTCAAGAACATATTCAATGCTGATCCTATTTCAATTTCTTTTTTGCTGCGACTTCCAGGGTGAGAAGAGAGACTGGCTTGACAGTAGGGTAGCGCGCGCTGCTTTTGGACGTTTTGATTGGGTCCGCAGAAGGGGTATAAAATGAATCAGCAGTTGGACATCGACATGTGGAACAACCTGTGACGATCACTATACCAAATAACTTTGCATGTTTCAGTTTGAATGAGCAAGACTGGTTTCAGAATCAGCTTCACAGCCCTGGGACAACAAAACAAATGAAGGCTGGTCCATGTAGTGCCGTGGCTCAGTCTTAGACCCCTTTAATTTTGTTTGGCCTGAATCTCGACTTTGATTTACACTTTCCTACATGGCGCTCTCCTACATTGATGTGCTCACCGTATGGCAGGGTCTCCTGAACCTTCTGGGTATGCCTACCTTGTCCGAGCGATCTTCCCGACAGCATGAATGCCTACGAGAGTTTGCCATGCGCTTTCGCTGCTTTCCTCTGGTGGCTGATCCCACGACACCAGGACATATGGCAGACTTTTTGGACATGGTCTGCTTCCTGACAGTTTTGGGCAGCATGACTTTCACGGCATCTATGAGTGGTGAGGGTAGCGTTTCTGAATTTACCACTTGGGTCTATGATGTCCAGGCCATGATGGGTCCACCTGAAGACTGGGAGAAGTTGAAAGAAAAGATCTGCCGCGATCCCGACCATTTTCGAGCTACCGTGAGGATCTCTTTAGAGGCGATACAATCTCTCAAAGAAGAGTGCAGCACGCATGTCAAGGACGTGTATGGTTTGATTTTGCGAGTGGAACCCCTTTTGGGTGAGATTCAAAAAGAAATTGAAAGTTTGACAGGGTAGATTTATAATGGTTTCCATTGGGGCATGCACAACCTGCCTCGAGAATTTTGGACATATGGGGACGCTGAGCAAAAGAAACCGCTGTTGCTTACCGTCCACGTTTAGTGCAGCTGAGCTCACTGGCTGTACAGTTTCATTTAGCTGTTAGGTTCACACTCTTTGCATCTCCCACTTTTGTATTGTCTTCGACGATTTCAGTTTGATGCCTCATACTTGGACATACAGCATGAACATGTCAGATTGTTTTTGACACAGCTCCAAAAACTACTAGCGCCTTGGTTCAATCCATAGGGAGTTGTCCAACCTGAAGCTATGTCTTTCAGTGCCGTTGGTGTCTTTGACATCCAAGGGCACATTTTGAGAAGTTCGCAGTTGCAGCGTAGTGTTAGTGTACCCCAAGCCGCTTTGCCGACCCCAACAACAAGAGAAGCAGTGCAGAATGAAAGTCAGGAAAGCGTTCTTGGCCAATCACCTATGGCCAATGATGAAGGTCCCGAAGGCAGCAGTGGAAAGGGTGATGGAAGAGGACGGGGGCGAGGGCGTGCAAGAGGACGAGGTAAAAGGGCTACAGGAACAGAAGGCACAGGATCCATGGAATCACCCAAGACTCCCCGTGGTTACTAAGCAGCAAGTTGGGGCAAATACTATATAAAGGGGCTCATTTTTGGAATAACAAGAATTGTAATGATGGCGGGCCCCCCATCTATAGATTCCTGTTTGTTTTATTTGTCGTTTATTTGAAAACGAAAATCTTCAAGTATCTGCCACTGCAAACCAAAAAACGACTTGGGAGTCTTGACCTTACAACTTTTTGTTTTTGATCCAAGACGGGTACTGTAGGGTCACCATAGCCCAGGTATGAAAAGACCAGCAACCAAAGTGGAGTTTGAAAAGGCGGGGGACAAGGACAAGAAAGAGGCCACCCTGACCAGTGAGAAGGTAGTTGAACCAAAGTCAGTGGCACACCCAGTGATTTTCAAGAGGCCGGCGTCCAAACAAGTACCAGGGCCAAAGCCCACCAAAAGGAATGTGGAGGAAAAGGTCGAGGTTAGGAAGAAACCCGCAGCCCAGAAGGAAACATTTGGTTTGAAGACGAGCACCATGACACCAGCAAGCTTTTCAGCGAAGGTTGCGTGGGAAGTTTCAAAGAAGGTGGTGAAGAGGAAACACCGTTGACTACTGACCCGCCTCTAGATCCACCTGAGGCTGCCAGAAAGGCAGCCAGTACCCTTGTGAAAAAGCGTGCCACTACCCCGATGCAAAAGCCAGCCACTACCATGTTGAAAAAGCCAAAGGCAACCCAGAAACCGGGAGCCAAATCAGCCCACCTTTTGAAAGAGGAGGAGAAAACAAATGGCTGGTTGCTTTTGACTTTTGAGCGGTCAAAGACAGCTACTACAAATCCCGGTGCCATTTATTATTGCTACTTCAAGCAAGGGGTTGACAGTTTTTATTCGCTGACACAAGCGAAGGGCCATGGATACGAACCATGATGCAATTTAATTTTCCAGTTCTCAGCAGCACCAACATCAGTTGGAATCGCAGTGACAAAGAATTGCGCTGCTGACCCCAAACGAAAACACCACAGGTCATGAAAACACTATCTTTTATGAAAATTTCTTTTCAGTTTTTGATGATCGACCCTCATTTCGTGCGAAAGGGTTGACGTTTCGTGACTCCCCGCCGGCACCACCCTCGGCCTAAAGAGAGAAAGATAAAGAAGGCGAGAGAGAGAAAAGGGAGAGAGAAAGGAGAGAGAGAAAGGAGAGAGGAAAGCGGAGAGAGACAGACAGAGAAAGGAGAGAGGAAAGAGGAGACAGAGTGAGAGAGAGAGAGAAGATGTGAGTATGTGAAGATGTGAGTGCGAGAGAAAGAAAGAGAAGATGTGAGTATGTGAAGATGAGCAGATGTGAAGATGAGCAGATGTGAAGATGAGAAGATGTGAAGATGAGAAGATGTGAAGATGAGAAGATGTGAAGAGGAGCAGATGTGAAGATGAGCAGATGTGAAGATGAGAAGATGTGAAGAGGAGCAGGTGTGAAGATGAGCAGATGTGAAGATGAGCAGATGTGAAGACGAGCAGATGTGAAGATGAGCAGATGTGAAGATGAGAAGATGTGAAGATGAGAAGATGTGAAGATAAGAAGATGTGAAGAGGAACAGATGTGAAGATGAGCAGATGTGAAGATGAGAAGGTGTGAGAGAAGGTGTGAAGATGAGAAGGTGTGAAGATGAGAAGGTGTGAAGATGAGAAGATGAGATACAGACCCCCACTATTGGAAGAACCCTGCGCTCAGACGCTCTCGGGAAAAAACGACAAACCGACCCCAGCCGCACCCGTCGCACACACGAGGTACCTTTCATCGTCGCCTGCAGCCACTTTACACGGAAAAACGCAAGGTTTCGTGCTCTGGCTTCCTCCCCAAAACATAGCCCATGCAACATCATGCAGCCACTACAATGCGGTTTGCAGCATCAACTCGCAAACTTGCACCTATCTATGCACAGAACAACACCAGAACACCAGATGACAAGAGTCATGCAGCCATTCCAATGCGATCTGCAACCGGACATTCCAAAACACCCTATAACTACGCACACACAAGCGCACCCAAAGCAGCTTCAAGCCACCGTTACACTGCGGCAAAAAAAACGACAAACCGACCCCAGCCGCACCCGTTGCACACACGAGGTACCTTGCATCGTCGCCTGCAGCCACTTTACACGGAAAAACACAAGGTTTCGTGCTCCGGCTTCCTCCCCAAAACATAGCCCATGCAACATTCACTTCATCACCATTTCCCTTCGTCGCCACTTCCCTTCGTCACCACTTCCCTTCCTCACCACTTCCCTTCGTCACCACTTCCCTTCCTCACCACTTCCCTTCGTGATCACTTCCCTTCCTCACCACTTCCCTTCGTCACCACTTCCCTTCCTCAGCACTTCGCTTCATCACCACTTCCCTTCGTCACCACTTCCCTTCGTCACCACTTCCCTTCGTCAGCACTTCGCTGCATCAACACTTCCCTTCGTCACCACTTCCCTTCGTCACCGCCCCGTCATTGTGACCACCCTTCATCAAGATCAATTCCATAGCTTCTTAGTCCCTTCTTATGTATTGTTATCTCTTGTATTGTTATGTGATCTACCGCCCTTCATCAAGGTCAATTCCACCGCTTCTTATTCTTTTGTTATGTATTGTTATCTTATGTATTGTTTTGTGATCTACCACCCTTCATCAAGGTCAATTCCACCGCTTCTTATTCTTTTGTTATGTATTGTTATGTTATGTATTGTTATGTAATCTACCACCCTTCATCATTTCAAGTCTCAGAATTCTATTTGCCCGTAACACGGAAGTATTGCTTCCCAACTTCCTTTGATCATAGTTTTGTTTTTCAGGCCCAAGCTTTCTCAGCTTTGTATCCTCCATCAAGGCGCGGGATGACCTCAAGGCAAATGGTGGCAGGTTAACAGGACAAAGTTTTAGGTACCCCCCACATTGCATGCACGTGGGGTTGTAAGACTCTAGGATCCCAGCTCGACTTCGATTTTCCGGATAGTTTCGTGAAGCGCCTTCGTTTTCCGTAAGCACATGAGGTGAAACATGAGGAGTAGGCAATGTGGACTCAAAGGATTTTTTCATGCTTGAAGGATTGGCCCAACCAAGACTCCCATCATCAAAGGCATCGTCACTCATATGCCCATCATAAAAGGACTTGAGGTCCGCCAACTCGTCATGCAACTTCATCAAGCTGGTGCGAAACTTCTCAACTTTGGCCATGCTCCTTACGAAGAACAGTTGGGTCTACCAATTTAAAATTCGAATGCGCATGTTTCGTCATGGCGTGTTAATGCTGCAGATCAAAAACTCTTGGGCTTCTTTGCCATCGATATTTGAAAGCTTGTCCCGGGCAATCTCCATGCGAGACTGAACTTTCAAGAGTTGTGACATCACAGTCCCAACATTCTCAATGGCCTCCCAAAGGCATGGACAGTTGAAGCATGCGGCAAACCAAAGATCCCAAAGAATATGTTTACAGTTTCACCTTTTTTGTGGACCCAGCCTCTAGGGCGTGTTCTTTTTGAACTTCACTTCTGGGGGGAACCCGTGTTCTGCTCATTCTGCTGCTGGTGCCGTCGTCCATGTCATCGTCGACCTCATGGTCGGTGTCCACTGGCTCAGGCTCATCTTCACCTCGTGCTGCTGCGCATGGGTCAGTGGCTGGGAGCCCCAAGTCGAAGGACGCAGCTTGTCCAGTGGTCTTATCTACAAAAGTTTCTTCATTCTCATCATCGAAACTGCCGGTTGTTTGCACATCCACCCAATACTCCTTGATGTGGCTCTGGTATTTGTCCCGCCTGCATGGGGGCTAACCGAAGATGTGGGAGTAGAAAGATCAAAACCCATGCGGACACCATGATATTTGAAATTCTCAAAGAGAAATTGGGCCCCCAAGCCTGACGTGAGGGTCAGCGCAGTATTTCACTGCAGCTTTAATCCTATCCCTCAGTTGTTTGCAGGGACCCGGAATGGGAAGGAATTCAGAATTCAAGCTCATACTGCTATTGGTCAATTGGTGAAGGGCTGATCTAAGAAGGGGACGCATCCCATCCTAAGTCCTTCTTGATGTTTGCTTTGGTGTAGAACCCCTTTTCCACATGCAAGTTGTTCTTCCGGGACTTTTTCTGCTGGTGCTCGATAGTTTTCAGAAATGCTTCTTTTGAGGGGATCTGACAACCGTGTGTTGGTACATTGTTCTATCTTCATATGGGGTGTTGCATGATCAAAATAAAACCAAAACCTGGAGACAATAAACAACACTGGTCCTTGTTGCCCTTAGATTTCACCAACATGTCCAACAAGCATTTTCGCTGTTGTGTTGACCTCCAGCTTTGAACTGCCTGTGGATCTCCTGGGAAACCTCCAGCTTTCCGCTGGCAGGTTTCAGCATGCAAATGCGGCGCAAAGCAGCAGCCAACGACGACATCATCCTGGCATCGTGATCTGCATCAGCCTTCGGTGGCGGGAGGTTAACTAGGAGGGGCGAGTTTTGTGCATCAATTGGAGATATTTGGGGTTTGTGCATGTGCTTGGTAAACCTATTGTAATGTACTGTAACCTACTGTGTTCCGAATATTAAAGCTACATAGCTAAGTAAGTAAGTATGCATGTGTATGCATGCCTGTGCGCATGCATCTAAACAAGTACGTGCGTAAGAAGACACTTTGGCCTATTTTGAACACATGCTGGGCCCATCTTAAGCCACTATTAGGCCATCTGGCTGGCCAAGCTAGCCCAAACAACCAAACAAGAGCTAAGATTCTTGGCTTGGAGCCTCTCCTCGGGGTTAGGATCATGTCTTACTCGTCCTACTGGTAAAAAAAACTTTACTCAGGTGTGGATGTTGGGCTTATGTTGTAGTTTATGTATGCTAGTTTGGGTGTCGTTGGATGGTTTTACTGAATGTTTATAGCTGTGTACTTTTCAACGCCTAAAAATACGGGTACTTATCGAACTGAATGGTATAAAGTTTGAAGTGTAGCTGCTAGCTGAGTAGGTGTGTGTGTATACAAAAAAATAGTGTAGATTCTATGTTTACCTATATTTGTTCTTTTGTTTACTCTTGACCAAACATTGTTCATGATATATTTACTGTATATATATATATATCTCTCTCTCTCTCTCTCTCCCTCTCTCTCTCTCTGTCTCTCTCTCTCTCCCTCCCTCTCTCTCTCTCTCTATCTAGACATTAAGTATATTACCTGCTACTGGTCAAAAGTTCAAGGGCCGCTGATGGTGGTGCGAAGCATCCATCTCCATGCCCAGGCATCCTTTTCCCAGATTCCTGGCCTTCTTGGGTTCAGTATCTGCTGCCTGCACCAGATTGGTGCAGGGAAGCAGCATCAAATTCAAATGCATGTGGGGAACACCAAGGGCAACCATTCCACAGCACTCAGTTAAAAGGTTTCAGTTCGAAGACAGTGCTCTAGTCAACGCTTATATTGTATGAATTGAAGTTCTACATGTCAAGCCGTGGCCTCTTTAGGATGTCCCTTAGAGGCGTCTGGCTTCGAGCCCGAAGATGTCGCCTTTGGCATGCTGGTCTCCTGCCCCATTCCCCACCCAAGAAAAGGGCTGCATGAGATGAAACATACTTCAAGGTTACAAAGTAAAAACAGACTGGGGTCAGGAAGTTGGGCCAATGTCCCTATTGGAAACAAATCTACATCCCTATCCTGGTCAACATTCTTCAATGCCTTTGCTGAACTGGGTGGTGATGCTTTTGTCCTCGGGCATGGGCTATGGGTAGCGAAGGATTCAACCGAGCTCGCCCTCTGAGGCGGATCAGCAGGCTTCCCCATCAGCTTTCGCAGGCGCTCCTTTGCAGCCTGGGTCGTGGCTTGGGAACACGGCGCGGGGTGGACAGGATAGTGCCACCAAATGGACTCTAAATGGGAGCTTTGTCGGCTTCAACATTTTGCAACCCTGAAACAGCAACAAGTCCATCATAGGTCAACTTCTTGTTCGCCTCCCTTTGCTCTGCAAGGAAGCTAGACCCCCGGTATAGTGTTGCACATGACCATTGTCGGGTAGGTGGCTCCGACGCCATGTTTGTCCAGGCACCAGTCGCAACCCTTAAACCATTCACTGCAACACTTTTGCATGTGGAACATTGCACGATGGGACCTCCGAATGTGGGCAAACATGCCTAAGATGCATTGTGCACGCTTGGTGTTGTAAATTGTGTCCCAAAACATCTCTAAACTCGAAATCTTTCAGGCTCTTTCCAGTGCCAAGGTCGATCACCCATGAATTGGTGCGTGTGAACAGCACTAAGCTCGCACGAGAGTGAATTTCCCGAATACCGGGGACAGCCCAAAGTTGCCTATTTTAGGAGTACAAAATGGATGGTTCTTTACGCCACTGACTTGTATTTACGCCACTGTCCCCGATTTCTGCCACTGTTGCCTATTTTCTGCCCGAGTCTGCACAAAACGGGATCGAATCGTTGTTTCCACGTAGGCCTATTGGCAGTTTCAGGGATGTCCTTTGGCAACCTACAGCCTTGGGGATATTCCACGACCTCATACATCCGTGCTTCTTCATATAGATCATCAAGTCCCGGGATTGGGGTCACGTGCCAGGAGCGAATATCTTCTGCATCCGGAGCCTCAGGTTCGCTGATGGAAGTGGCGAACATGGGTGGTGACAGGCTTTTGTAGCCTTAGCCCTTGGGATATAATCTGAAAATATATGTAACAGAACCCTGCCCTGATTCATTTTATTCTGAAACATACGAGGCATATGCGGCTTCAATAGTTTTTAGACATGGGGAACCCCGGAATCATGGGGTTCATTTTTTTAAGATGATTTGGGGGTATACCACCATTTTTACAAAGCTTGCATATATTATATATATATAATTATACCTATCTACCTATCTACCTATCTACCTATCTATCTATCTATCTATCTATCTATCTATATCTATCGATCCATCGATTTTTTGTAAATTAGTTTTTACGCGGTAAGCAGACATTTTGTTGAAACGGTATTTGGGGCTCCACTTTGAACCGGTCGTGTAAGTCTAGGTGCCCATTTTGGTTGTTTCAACGACGACCTTTCCTTTTTCAGGTGCTTCATGCTTTCTGCGAATCGAACTCCAAAGCCCACTGGGTATTCCCTTAGCTGCATGGAAAATATGAAGAAAATAGGAAGGCAAACAAGAACGACATCCATCCTATGATTTAGATTAAGCCTAGGTGCTGACTTTTGCGAAGATTTACATTTCCTTTAAATCTCTTCCTCCCAACGGCATCTCGGTTGGTGTCAGCCAATTTTGGGGTAGCACCAGCACGACCCTTCCTGGCTTTCTTCGATTTGCAAAAAAAAATCGGACACCACTGCTGTTACTCCAAAGAGTAATTCTCTTTGGCGTTTTGCTGCCAAAGCCCCACATCCAAAATGATTGCCGGAAGACCTTGGCCAGGCAGCGAAGAAACACTGGCTGGGACCCCATCTCCTAGAATCACCCAAAAAGGGTGGATGGTAACTGCAAATGGGAAGTAGCTTACAACATGTTCCCCCTTTTGGCGGTATGCCATTTCAGTGATGATTTGTGCAATTTTAAAGATTGTTTATGGCGTTTGTTTAGAACTCTAATTGCTGGAAACTTCACAGCGTAGCCACAACTTACACACATCCTGTTTCATGCCTGGTAACAGTGATTGTTCGAAGTAATTTCTGGAACCCTCGAAGACGGAATGCCAAGCTTGTGCTCGGCTGCTCTAAAACCCAAACTCCTTGCTTCGCCATTACCACAAGCACGGCGAGAAATGTCCTGCAGGGGTTCATTAGCTAGTCATGTACTGGACTAGGGAAAAGGGAACAGATTCAATCTTTTGGTGAGCTTTTTCTAGTGGGTTCGCGCGCCTATTTTGGGGTCCTTTTTGGGGAACGCCGGCGCGCGAACCCAAGGAAAAAATCAAAGTTCAGGGCTGAGCATTCAATATAAGCACTTATATATATATATATATGACCCTTTTCTGTCTTTCGTGAATAAATTCACAGTTTCAACCCATTGGTCCTTGCTGCCAGCAAATTGCTTTGAGAAACTGACAGGGAATTAGGATCCCCTTCTGGCAAGAAGTAGTGTCGAAAGGTGGACCCGCGGCTCATCGTTATGAAGGTGGAACAGACCAAGCCAAAAGCGACTACTACCCCATCTTTGGAATTCACAATGGCCGACAGCAGCAGCCTTAGATCCGTGGATAAAAACGTTTTTGTATACGACGCGTGACTTTGCAGAAAAAGGGTGATCATATGTGAGCTTATCTATATAGCATGCACCGGGGACCATACCTACCAAAATGTTGCAAATAAAAGCACAGCCAGGAAACCCAAACCCAGCTGGACACAAAAGGTTCAATGGGTTCCTTTTGCATTTTTTCCCCAACCGTTTTTTGGAACATAGGCGCTTTTGCATCCAAGGGTTCCAGAGGCCAATGTCTAGGCTGGCAGTGTCGCAGCCGCCCAACTGCAAGCAGCGGCTTAAAGAAGCCGGGCCACAAAAGACTTCCACAGCATCGTATACCTGCGACGTCAAGATGGGGACCAGCTCGCCCGCAATACTGTTTGCTACTAAGTTGCACGTATATACATATGTATGTGTAAATGATATATATATATATACATATGTATGTATATATACTCTCGTGAAATCCAACTTGTTGCAAAAAAATGCAATATGTTAGTTTTCGTTTTTCGTTGAGAACCGCTAACATAGCAGCTGAAATCTTGCATGTTCATGGGATCATATTGATACTAACCTATATAACACCTGCCGCGCCTCCATCAGCACAAATTCCCAAAAGTGTGAAGTTAGTGTTCGTGCTGTGTTTGGGAACATGGCGAATACTCCAAAGCTGGAACCACCAAATGGAACAAAACTTTGGATTGAAAATCATGACTGGCACAACTGTTTTTGGATGTCTTGCTGGGGCTCACCCTTACTGGACCAAAAAATACTTCAAAATCAACAATTTTACTAAATAGATTGAATAAGGAAAAAATCCTGGTCGATGTTGCCAATCTGGCTACTTGCTGCCATGATGATGGTGTACTATTGGAGGTTTTGGGAACCCTGGGCAAGTGCTATGTTAGTAGTCCTGTTGCCAAAACTTTGGAAATATAACTGGCACAACTGTTTTTGGATGTCTTCCTGGGTCTCACCCTTACTGGACCCAAAAAAGCTTCAAAAGGAACAATTTTACATAATAGATTGAATAAGGAAAAAACTCCTGGTCGATGTTGCCAATCTGGCTACTTGCTGCCATGATGATTATGATGTGGTATTGGATGTTTTGGGAACCTTGGGCAAATGCTATGTTAGTAATCCTGTTGCCAAAACTGTGGTTTGGATTGAAAATCATGACTGGCACAACTGTTTTTGGATGTCTTCCTGGGGCTCACCCTTACTGGACCCAAAAAAGCTTCAAAACCAACAATTTTACATAATAGATTGAATAAGGAAAAAACTCCTGGCCGATGTTGCCAATCTGGCTACTTGCTGCCATGATGATTATGATGTACTATTGGAGGTTTTGGGAACCCTGGGCAAATGCTATGTTAGCAATCCTGTTTCCAAAACTCTGGAAATGATGGCTGGCACAACTGTTTTTGGATGTCTTCCTGGGGCTCACCCTTACTGGACCCAAAGAAGCTTCAAAATCAACAATTTTACATAATAGATTGAATAAGGAAAAAACTCCTGGTCGATGTTGCCAATCTGGCTACTTGCTGCCATGATGATTATGATGTGGTATTGGATGTTTTGGGAACCTTGGGCAAATGCTATGTTAGCAATCCTGTTGCCAAAACTCTGGTTTGGATTGAAAATCATGACTGGCACAACTGTTTTTGGATGTCTTCCTGGGGCTCACCCTTACTGGACCTAAAAAAGCTTCAAAACGAACAATTTTACATAATAGATTGAATAGGGAAAAAAACTACTGGTCGATGTTGCCAATCTTGCTACTTGCTGGCATGATGATTATGATGTACTATTGGAGGTTTTGGGAACCCTGGGCAAGTGCTATGTTAGTAGTCCTGTTGCCAAAACTTTGGTTTGGATTGAAAATCATGACTGGCACAACTGTTTTTGGATGTCTTGCTGGGGCTCACCCTGACTGGACCCAAAAAAGCTTCAAAACGAACAATTTTACATAATAGATTGAATAAGGAAAAAACTCCTGGTCGATGTTGCCAATCTGGCTACTTGCTGCCATGATGATTATGATGTACTATTGGAGGTTTTGGGAACCCTGAGCAAATGGTATGTTAGTAATCCTGTTGCCAAAACATTGGTTTGGATTGAAAATCATGACTGGCACAACTGTTTTTGGATGTCTTCCTGGGGCTCACCCTTACTGGACCCCAAAAAAGCTTCAAAACGAACAATTTTAGATAATAGATTGAATAAGGAAAAAACTCCTGGTCGATGTTGCCAATCAGGCTACTTACTGCCATGATGATTATGATGTACTATTGGAGGTTTTGGGAACCCTGGGCAAATGCTATGTTAGCAATCCTGTTGCCACAACTTTGAAAATATAACTGGCACAACTGTTTTTGGATGTCTTCCTGGGGCTCACTCACCCTTACTGGACCCAAAAAAGCTTCAAAACGAACAATTTTACATAATAGATTGAATAAGGAAAAAACTCCTGGTCGATGTTGCCAATCTGGCTACTTGCTGCCATGATGATTATGATGTGGTATTGGATGTTTTGGGAACCTTGGGCAAATGCTATGTTAGTAATCCTGTTGCCAAAACTGTGGTTTGGATTGAAAATCATGACTGGCACAACTGTTTTTGGATGTCTTCCTGGGGCTCACCCTTACTGGACCAAAAAAAACTTCAAAATCAACAATATTACAAAATAGATTGAATAAGAAAAAAAACTCCTGGTCGATGTTGCCAATCTGGCTACTTACTGCCATGATGATTATGATGTACTATTGGAGGTTTTGGGAACCCTGGGCAAGTGCTATGTTAGTAGTCCTGTTGCCAAAACTTTGGAAATCATGACTGGCACAACTGTTTTTGGATGTCTTGCTGGGGCTCACACCCTTACTGGACCCAAAAAAGCTTCAAAACGAACAATTTTACTAAATAGATTGAATAAGGAAAAAATCCTGGTCGATGTTGCCAATCTGGCTACTTGCTATTGGAGGTTTTGGGAACCCTGGGCAAATGCTATGTTAGCAATCCTGTTTCCAAAACTCTGGAAATTATGGCTGGCACAACTGTTTTTGGATGTCTTCCTGGGGCTCACCCTTACTGGACCCAAAAAAACTTCAAAACCAACAATTTTACATAATCGAAGGAAATTTATTTAGAAGTCAAACTTCCGACAATATGGACAAATGAAAAGCAGAGCAGGGCAGAGGCAGAGAGAAGAGAAAGATTAGAAGAGAGAAGATCAGAGAAGAGAAAGAGTCAGAAGAAAGAAGATGCAGATGCGCGAAAAGGTAGGAAAGTCGCGAAACACTGTGTTTTTCCAATGGTTTTTGGGGCTCCGGAGGGTCGAAAAGTAGGCTCGCTAAAACTGCGGGTGCGGAGCCAGCTGGCCAGATGAGAGATGAAAAAGTGCACGCCGTTGTGGAGCGAAGCACATTTGCAAGTCAAAATGTAGAAAACACACCAGCATCGGACCACTTTTGGAAGTTGAGATGTCGAAAAAGTGCACGCCGTTGTGGCACGAAGCACATTTGCAAGTCAAAATGTAGAAAACACACCAGCGTCGGACCACTTTTGGAAGTTGAGATGTCGAAAAAGTGCACGCCGTTGTGGCGCGAAGCGCATCTGCAAGTCAAAATGTAGAAAACACACCAGCGTCGGACCAATTTTGGAAGTTGAGATGTCGAAAAAGTGCACGCCGTTGTGGCGCGAAGCACATTTCGAAGTAAAAATGTACAAAACACCTCAGCTCCGGACCACTTTTGGAAGTTGAGATGTCGAAAAAGTGAACGCCGTTGTGGCGCGAAGCACATTTCGAAGTGAACATGTACAAAACACCATGTACGGACCACTTTTGGAGGTTCAGATGTCGAAAAAGTGCACGCCGTTGTGGCGCGAAGCACATTTCCAAGTCAAAATGTACAAAGCACACCATGTACGGAATATTTAAGCGCTTACGCGCGGCAGCCGGCCAGGGGCCCAACTATGTGGGCCCATTTTGTGGCTATGTTGGCCTATGTTGGCGTATGTTGGTCTATCTTGCGGGCAATATGGGCCCATCTTGTGGCTAGGTTGGCCTATGTTGGCCTCAGGTTGATTCATGTTGAGCCAAAAGATCCGAAAAATGGGAACAGCAAAAAAACACTGTAAAACGCAGGAGATTTTGATGGTCGGCGGCGTATCTTGGGGCTATGTTGGCCCATCTTGGGGCTATGTTGGCCTATCTTCAGGGCGATGTGGGCCCATCTTGGGGCTATGTTGGCCCATCTTGGGACTATGTTGGCCCATCTTGGGGCTATGTTGGCCCATCTTGGGGCTATGTTGGCCCATCTTGGGGCTATGTTGGCCCATCTTGGGGGCTATGTTGGCCCATCTTGAGGCCTATGTTGGCCCATGACAAGATCCGAAAAATGGGAAAAAATGCGAAGAGCACAAAACACCGTAAAACGCGGTAGTTTTTGGCGGTCCCGGGTGGTCGGCGGCAGGGGGCGCGGCCCCTCTCTCCTACGGAGAGGCGAGAACTGCCGTACGGCAAGGACACGGCCAGGGGGCCCCTGGCCGGATTTAAGCGCTTACGCGCGACAGCCGGCCAGGGGCCCAACTATGTAGGCCCATTGTGTGGCTATGTTGGCCTATGTTGGCGTATGTTGGCCTATCTTGCGGGCAATGTGGGCCCATCTTGTGGCTATGTTGGCCTATGTTGGCCTCATGTTGACCCATGTTGAGCCAAAAGATCCGAAAAATGGGAACAGCAAAAAAAACACTGTAACACGCAGGATATTTTGATGGTCGGCGGCCTATCTTGGGGCTATGTGGGCCCATCTTGGGGCTATGTTGGCCTATCTTGTGGGCAATGTGGGCCCATCTTGGGGCTATGTTGGCCCATCTTGGGGCTACGTTGGCCCATCTTGGGGCTATGTTGGCCCATCTTGGGGCTATGTTGGCCCACCTCGGGGGCTATGTTGGCCCATCTTGACGCTATGTTGGCTCATCTTGCGGCCTATGTTGGCCCAGGTTGACCCATCTTGAGCCACAAGCTACGAAAAATTGCAAAAAATGGGAAGAGCACAAAACACTGTAAAACGCAGGGGTTTTTGGCGGGGGGGAGAGGTTGGCGGCAGGGGGCGCGGCCCCTCTCTCCTACGGAGAGGAGAGAAGCGCCTTCGGCAAGGACACGGCCAGGGGGCCCCTGGCCGGATTTAAGCGCTTACGCGCGACAGCCGGCCACGGGCCCAACTATGTTGGCCCATCTTGTGGTATGTTGGCCTATGTTGGCCTCATATTCACCCATGTTGAGCCAAAAGATCCGAAAAATGGGAACAGCAAAAAAACACTGTAAAACGCAGGATAGTTTGATGGTCGGCGGCCATCTTGGGGCTACGTTGGCCCATCGGGGGGCTATGTTGGCCTATCTTGAGGGCAATGTGGGCCCATCTCGGGGCTATGTTGACCCATCTTGGGGCTATGTTGGCCCATCTTAGAGCTATGTTGGCCCATCTTGGAGCTATGTTGGCCCATCTTGGCTATGTTGGCCCATCTTGGGGCTATGTTGGCCCATCTTGAGGCCTATGTTGGCCCATCTTGAGGCCTTTGTTGGCCCATGTTGACCCATC